CCCACTGGGCCATCTGGGAGGGTCCGGGGAGAACGCGGAAGCATTCGCGAACGTGGCCCGAGTCCCACCATCTCGGAGACTTGTGCGAAAGCACGGGGCGTTTGAGGACCAGCGCCCGGCCCTCGGGCTTCCGCCCCGGTGCAGCCTCTGACTAGGAACCGGGAGACAGAGCGGGCGGGCGCGGGAAGGACCGGGGCGCGGGCGGGCGTCCGGGTGTCCCAGTGGAGACGTGTGTGTAACACGTAGGGCACCTTGGTGAAAGTAGCCTCACGGGTTTTCGCTCCATGGCGGTTAGACGATTTCTTCAAAAGCCACTGGTTTCTGCCGGAGGGCGGGGGTGGCTGCCCTCGTGCTTGGGACTGCTGGCTGTCAGGGGTCTTGTTGCTGGGTGTAGGGGAGAACTGAAATACCGTGTTGGGCTGAGGCCGGGCGGGGTGGCTGACGCATGTCATCCCACCACTTTGGGAGGCCGACACTAGAGGATTACCTGAGCTCAGGGGTTCGAGAACAGCCTGGACAACTTGGTGAGGCCTCGTCTCTACAGTACATCAAAAAATAAGCCGGGCGTGGTAGCGCACGACTGTAGTTCCAGCGACTTCGAAGGCTGAGCCCGCAGGTCGCAGCTGCCGTGGCCTTGAGCGTGCCACTGCAGTCCAGCCTGGGCGACAGTGAGACCTGACTCAAAAAAAAAAAGAAAGAAATATTGCACCGAATTTGTCCTCTTTGTGTGTCTGGTGGGGTACGTCCTGGGAAGATTCCAAATGGTCTCTCTTTTTGAGCTTAGTGTCTTCTGCTCATCAGATTATTTTCATAAGACTTCAAAGTCCCAAGCCTTTTTTAATCTGCTTCTGTTGGCAGAGACTCAGTGGATCTAAGATTTTAATATCTTCATTTACTTAATTGGCCGTTGTTTTGCCGAACTAATGGTGGACAAGGGTCTGGCTGTAGGGTATTTATTTGAAGGTTCTTGTCCAGATGTCATAACTGATAACGCCTACTTTGTGGTTAAACTAACAACCCAGCCACCTGGGCATAAATGGTCCAAGAAGCCAGCCAGGACCACAGTGTAAACAACTGTTACCAGTGCTCTGTGTTATCGTTTTTCTCTTTACAGAATGTCTTCTCTGATAGAGTTGGCCACTGTACTGAGAACTGTGCTGCAAAATTCATTAACTTTGTTATTTTACCTAATCTTCCTTTACAAGGGAATCACCTAAGAGGGAACAGGTTTAACGCATTAACTCTTCATATGCTTTCCTCTGATAGTGGAGAGTCATAAAACAAAGTTAAATGGCACTTTTCATTAGATGCGTACGTCCTATTTTTTATATGTGATCAAGAAATAAGGTTAGTATTATGTTAGTCAAAGGTAACTTTTTTTTTAAGTTGGAGTCTCACTCTGTTACCCAGGCTGGAGGGCAGTGGCATTTTCATAGCCACTGCAGTCTTGTCCTCCTGGACTCAGGTGATCCTTCAGCCTTAGCCTCCCGAGTAACTGGGACTACAGGCGTGACCACACCAACTAATATTTTTATTTTTTCTAGCCATGAGGTCTCGAATTCCTGGGCTCAAGCAGTCCTCCCTCCTTGGCCTCCCAAATTGCTGTGATTACAGGTGTGAACCACCACCTCTGGCCTAAACTTTGATTATTAATTGTGTTTGTTTTGGTTTGGTTGGCCTTGCTGGGTAAATAGTTATTTTAAGTCCAGGCATATTTTTGGAATTGGAGAAGTGCAGTGCTCAGCTCTGAGGGCAGTAGTGACATCTACTTAATACATTTTAAAATTTTAATGTAAGCCGGGCTCGGTGGCTCAGCCTGTAATCCCGCGCCTTTGGGAGGCTGAGGTGAGTGGATTGCCTGAGCCCGCGGGTTCGAGACCCGCCTGGGCAGCGAGACCTCATCTCTATAATAAATCAAAAAATCAGCCGGGTGTGGTAGCGCATGCCTGTAATTCCGGCTACTCGGAAGGCCGAGGTGGAAGGATCGCCGGAGCCCAGCAGGTAGAGGCTGCAGTGGTCCGGAGCGGCCACTGCACTCCAGTCTGGGCGACAGAGTGAGACTCCAACTCAAAAAAATAAAAAATAAAAATTAATAAATAAAAATTAAAAAAAATAAAAATTTTAATGTAATTGAGCAACAGGACTGACTAGGAACTCTGTAACTCTTCGTGGGAGAAGGCTCATTAGATATGGTTTTTAAGGTGGTTTAAAATGCTTTGACCAACCAGGAAGCTTCATAGTCCTAGGGGAAGTTTTGAGTTCCTTATTTACAAATTTGAATAAAAATCAGATGTTTCCTGGTCCTGAGTATTAAATGAGTCCACATTGATTTTTTTTAAAGAGATTTCTAAGTTAATATTCATATGGCACCTTTTACAGTAGTTATTTCAATTCTAGCTATGATACTCTCCCACTGTAGTTAATAATTATTTCTAGTCATAAAAGAGACTGATTAATAAATCAGCATGAAAATTATAGTTGAGTTTCACAGCACAACAGCATTTCTTGAGTTACAGCTAAGTGTGGAGCGGGTTCCTAAAACTGTGCCCCTGGACACTAGATTCTCCTCATGTCTACCTCTGGGGCAGATTTTTTTTTTGGGGGGGAAGGGGCTTTCCAAGAAGCTCTGTATAATATCAGCATGTAGGAGCCTTTCCTGAAACTTTGGGATCTGTCTTCTGCAAAGGCAGCCACAGACAGAAGTCCTAACGGGGTTCTCACTCCCCTATGGAGCTCCCGACACAGCCTGCAGATTCTGGGCTAAGAAAAGCAGGGTTCTCAAACCCGGGCACAATGAAAGTACCTGGAGGGAATTTAAAAGTATGCTGCCCAGACCCCATTCCAGGGATTCTGATTCTTTTCCTTCAGGATGTGCCTGAGCATCGGTACTCAGAGCTCCTGAGATGGCTCTAATGAACAGCGGTTTAAGACCCCCTGGATGAGAGAAACGAGCAGAAGGAAGGTTCTGTTTTGCATTTGATGCTTGGCTTAGTCAGGTACTGGAGAGGCCAGTGTGCGGGGAGGCTGTTAGGGCAGTGCTGGATGCTGGCTCTTGGCCAGGGTCAGTGAGCTGGTCTGTGGGGTTTCCTGGAGCTTGCCTACCTGAGGTTTATCCGATTTCTCTCTCCAAGCAAGGCAGTACATAGTAATCATGGAATTCTCCATTATTAATTCACCCTTATTGTATCTGTGAGAGGGTGTTGGGGGGCTTGGGAACCTGAGCAGCCTCAGATTTTAGATTTGGGGCTTCAGATACATGGTCCGGGATTTAAGGGCTAGCCTTGGTTGTCTCTCTGTCTAACCTGGCACTAAGCCCCGGGAAGGCAAAGGCAGTTCGTGTTCTGAAGTAATTTTTCAGTCTGCTGTGAGAGACACAAAAACATACCAGTTCAATGTAGTACATGATTTGATGAAGGTATGTTCTGGAAACACATGCTTGACCTGTGAGCTCCCGGTAGTTCTGGAGAGAGAATGCCTAAACTAAGACTTGGGAGACATTTTGGAGTTTTGAGTAGGCAAGAAGAGAGGGTGTTCTAGGCAGAGGAGCAACGTTTTTTAAAAGGCACCAAAACGAGAGCATCTTCTGAGTAGAGAGTTACAAGTCATCTTTGTATTACAGCTCAGGCTGCTCATATCTCCATATTGCTGGGGTGAAATTTGAGGTGGGGACTGGTGAAGGGGATTATGAGAGGTAGGTTGGGTCAGGTGACAAGGGGCCTTATATGTCACACTGTGGGTACTTGTCTACTTCTGGATAGTTGGGAGCCACCGAAGGGTTTAGAGCCACCGAAGGGATAGGCTTGAGCAGACTTGTTTGTTCACAGTGTAGTTTGTGAATGTAGGAGGGTGAGGCATTGTGGTTAGGGGACTGGAGATATATTGCAAGAGACAGATAATGAAGGCTTGAACTGAGGCGGAGGTAGAGATGGAACAGACAGGATAGATGAGAGAAAGTTCAGTGCTGAATCTGGCAGAACTTGGTGCTTGGCTGGTAAGAGGTGAAGGAACTGGGATGACAGCCAGGCCTCTGGTTTGGTTAACAAGGTGGTGTCTAACTGAAGCTCAAGGTCTAGAACATCAGGTTTAGGGGGTTCAGTTTAGACCAACTGAGTTTGAAGTCTGTCCAGCAGACAGGTAGATACATGACATTGAAGTGCAGGAACCCACTCCGAGATGAATGTAAAGATCTGAGGTCTCAGCATACATGTTAATGAAAGCGCTGAAAGCTGATGAGATCAAGGATGAGATGTTGGGAGATGAGGAGGTCAACAGCCGGACTCTGGGGAACAAGCAGTATTGAAGAGTGGGTGGAAGAATAAGAAAAATACACCCTTGGAGGCTGCTTCTTTCCCCATATGACTCATCAGGAAATACCTGATACCTTCATTGCTGTGGAAGTGAGTTAAGTAGGTTCCTAGGCTTTGCTAGAAGAATGAAGAGGCATAGTCTGGTGTATAGTCAGAATCACGATTCCAGATCCCTAAGTTCACATTTTCTGATGGAGTTTTTGGTTGGATAGGATCACTCCTTAATTGTTGTTTTATGTCTTCTTTTAAACACAAGTTGTGTTTCCCTGTGACCCTGTATAATTTTTGAGAAAGATGTAGATCACTTAAGAAACATTAGTGTGAAATTGTGTATTGGAGACCTAGAGATGATGATTCTCTTTCTCTTTTTTTTTTTCCTGCAATTCTTTGTGCTGAAAATTTGGCTCCTTTTTCTTTTAATTGAGCTTTATGTATATAGTCTGTATGTGACATGCTACTTATTTGGTAAACTTTACATATTATCTTATTTTAAATTGGCTAGAGGCTGTTACAGAATAATAACTTGAGTTGGCTTCCATTTTTTTACTGGGCAAGTTTTTCCTTCTAGTATCCCTTCCACATTACTACTACAGTCAACTTATTAAGATGTAACTTTGATCTTGTCACTCTCCTGCTTTAGCTCCTCATCGTCTAGAAAGAAGCTGCTTTCCTCAGCTGGGTGGTCAGCCTTCTATAGCCTGGCCCAGGCAGTCCTCATCTCATCTCCCACCTTGCCATACATTAACTATCCCAGAGTGCTTATCTTTCTGGAGCATTTCATGTACTTCATTGTGCCTGTGTGTGGTCTGCCCAGCACATGCTTCTCACTATTTCTGGTGAGAATTTGTCAAAATTATTTTCCTCTCTAGCCTTCCTAGACTAGATAACACTTCTCCTTTCCATGGTGGAACGACTGCATTCTGACCTGGGTATTGATGAAGCAATTTGTGCACGTAGCTGTTTATTAGCTATAAGTACTTCTAGCTACTAATTGTCTTTGAGAAATTGAAGGTCTTTTGAAGGTAAATACAGTAGGCTATCACTGGTTCATTTTATAAATGTTGAATTTCTACATGCCAGGCTCTGAGTCGCTCACAATTCTTACTATATTGGCAGCACCTACCACAAGGGTTGGCAGGTAGTAGTTAAAGCGAGTCTTTAGGCCTGGCTTTGAGAATATCAAAACTGTTGGTATCAGATAAGACCATGAAATTTCAAATAATGTTTCAGGCCTGGTTGTTTTAAATTCAGTGTTCAAAAAAATACATTGTTTACTTTTTAACTTTTGTTCTTTAGTCAAAGAAGAAAGGACTGAGTGTAGAAGAAAAGAGAGCCCGCATGATGGAAATATTTTTTGAGACAGTAAGTCGTTTTCCTTGAATGTTTGAATGTTGTGTAATTTTCACATTAAGCATGTCATCCAATGTTAACTGTCCTTTCTTTGTTAGAGACCAATATTGACCAATTTCTTGAAGAATAGATGCAATTCTGCAAACATTTGTGGCTCCTGTGAGTTCTGGAGTATGGAAGAGTCATATGCCACTGTCATGAAATTCTCTTCTATCAACATACTGGCACCAGAATTCTCTTTCTGAAGCATAGATTTGATTGTCCCCCATTCTGTCTGAACATGATGATAGCTCACACCTCCTGAGGGCTACCTTGGTGCCAGTCACTGTTCAGGCTCTTGGCATAGACTAACTGATTTCATCCTTATGGCAACCCTATGAGCAGGTGCTAGTGTCTTTATTTTACTGATGGGACACCTGAGACAGAATACCTAAGAAACCAGTCTGGATCCCAAAGAATAGAAGCGATAATATCAGGATTCTAACCAGGGAGGGTCCTCTGATTTTAGAGGGAGTGCAAGATGTGCCTCTTGGCATTTCTAAATCTGTCTATAGTGATCACATATTTGGTGATATACAGACCTCCTTAAGGTAGTTCAGATATTTGTGCCTGCCACTAATAGGAAATGTGTGTAAAATTCCAATTCCTAAGTGACAGAGTCTGAGTTCAAGCCCAGGCATGTGGCTCTAGAGCCTGCTGTCTTTGCCATGTGGCTATATGGCTTTTCTTTGCCTCCAGGTTAAGGTCCAAACAAACCTTTGACCTAGAAGAAGTACTAGTGTTGTATGGCTTGGTAGGACTTACAGAGCCCATTTGAATCCAAGCTACTGGCTATTTTTATCATATACAAATGTGAAGAAGATGGGGGAAGGTGGTGAAATAGACTATTAAGTTGATTAAATCCCTTTTCATTTTGGTAAGGCAGATTCTTAGCAAAGTACTCTTGGAATTCTTTTTTTTTAAGTATCTGCCCTCTATGTGTCATCTTACTGTTCCTAAAAGTCACTGGTAGTTCAGAACAGGGCACTATATTAATAATGATGATATAGTTAGGAAGATAAATTAATGAAGTTTGTATGTGAAAATTATGACAATTTATTCTTCTGTTGAGTCGGAATATTTTTCCTGTGGTCTCAGAATAAGAAATAGATTCTGACCAGACAGTGGAAAGCTGGGGAAACAGGTTGGGGAAATTGTTTTCTTGTTTACAAATATGGTTAATTATCTCAAATGTCAGTCAAAATTGGCTGTTTCTGACGGAAAATTTTTCAACTCTGTTCTCAATGACATTGTCACTAAAGATTGTGATACTAATGAGGATTAGTAGCTTAAAGAAATTCAGTAATCAATGAGTTTTTCTGTAAAGCTGAGTATTGATTGATTGATTTCAGTTCATATATTGTTGGGGTTTTTCCCTACATTATAGCCAAATCAGTTGCTGCTCACTTATTGAGTCTGTCAGTGTTTTTATGGAATTCAAGAGTATAGCAGATTTGGGAAAAGTAAAGGAGATCATTACATTTATTCTCTCGTGAATGAGCTCTGTATCTAGGATCTAGAACTGATGTTGAAAGTTGATAAATAGTAGACATAAGCCCTTCAACAATTCAAAGCCATTCAACAATAATGGTGCAGAGTAAAAAGCATAGATTCTGGAATCTAGATTCTAACTCTGTTGTTGCAATTGGCAAGTCAAAATTCCAACAAAATCAAATATGGCTATGCCAGGGTTTGTTACAGAATCTGAAACCTTTTCAAGATTAATGTCATGGGAAACTGCTCATGATATAATGTTAAGGAGAAAATGCAGAATATAAAAATATGCCATATGATCACATATATTAACATGGTAGGATTACAGGTGGGTTTTGTTTTATACTCTGTGTTCTCAGTTACCTACAGTGAACATACATATTATCTTTAAATAGCTTATTCCCAGATGTGCAAAAATTGATCTTATATTCTCACTAAGTCCAATGACTTAATTTTCTAAATCTTAGGTGTAGTGAAATGAAGTTAAATCTTAGGTGAGAGTGAAATTAAGTCTTAAGTGCAATGAGATGATGTTTTTTTCAGCATTTCATTATGAAAAATTTCAAATTTGCAGCAAAGATGTGTCTTACAGTGAACACCCATATGCTCATCACCTAGATTCTACCATTAGCATTTTACTCTACTTGTTTTATCACATAAATTTTCATCTATCCGCTCCTTTATCCATCCATCAGTTCTTTTTTGGGGAAGAGGTGATTTCAAAGGAGTTCTTTGAATGTATCTTGGGTGTCAGATTTTCGTCAGGTGTATGTTTTGTGAATATTTTTATCTAGTCAGTGTTTGTCTTTTTAATTTCTTGGCAGTACCATTGGATGAGCAGAAGTTTTTAATTTTTATGTAGTTTAATTTTCATCCATTTGAAGTTGTCTTTTCAGGTATATTTTGGAAGAAATGGATCCCAAATTTTCCTAACAATAACAATATTTCTGTTCTGATTACATACCTTAGTCTTTTCAAATAATTTCACTTTTGCTATCCAAGTTCTTTTCACCACTTCAAGGCTTATTCACAGTAGTAAAGAGTGTTTTGCATAGATTTTTTCTTCTGACCATAAGATTAAATATTCTACATGTATATCTTCCCATAATGTTTTGCTTTGTTTATGGTAGACATGTATATGTGAATGATTTAGAGGCAGTCATGAATTATGTGATTTTCCTATTGCGTAGATACAGCTTTTCCATGAAACCTTAAAAGTAAACAAATCTTGACACTTGTCTTTTGCTTTTATAGAACTGCTAAATCTGTGAAGTATAATATACGCTAAACAAAGCACTCTTTGTGTTTTTTTCTCCCACCCCCCCATACCTGTTTATGTTTTCTTAAAATCAAAGTGTCAGAGAAGCTAATTACCTCATGTTACCAAATGATCCACCGTACCTAGTTTTAATACTTCAGTGGAAAGATGCTTTACAGTCTGATCTCCAAAACTTTAAAGAATTTTTATGCACATGCAAAATCTTGTCCATTTTAAGTTCTAACGAGGGTATTGAATGAGATAAGTGCAAAGTTTCTTGTGTCTCTAAAATGCTTGATTCTATTGCATTTCCAAGCATGGTTTTTTAATACAATGTTTTATGAACATCATAATGGTGTCTGTATCAATGTATAGCAAAATATATTTATATAGAATGACTATAGTTAATTATAATTTATCATACATTTAAAAATAACTAAAAGAGTGAAATTAGAGTGTTCCTAACACAAGGAAATGATAAATGCTTGAGGTGATGGGTACCCCAGTTACCCCAAGTTACCCTGATATGATTGTTACATATATGCTGGTAGCAAAATATCACATGTGCCTCCATAAATATATACAACTATTATGTACCCATAGTAATTAAAAAGAAAGAAAAGTATATATAGTAGAAAATAAATACATATTTTTCATCTTTTTAACACTCTTTTAAACAGAAAGATGTATTTCAATTAAAAGACATGGAGAAGATTGCTCCTAAAGAGAAAGGCATTAGTAAGTATCAAAGATCACTGAGATATTTTGGAAAATATTTGTCATCTTTTCTGCAATGGTCTTTCACTTTTTTGGAAAACATAGATTTCTAGAGATGAAGAAATCACTTGATACCTACCATCCAAAGATAACCATTGTCACATTAAAGCATACTGTCCTTTATTTTTCTTTATTGAATATGTCCATGCCATTAAATATTCTTTCATAACAGAAATGATTGCATAGTAGTCCTTCTTAATAAAATACTTTTAAAAATCCAGTTTATCTGGGTACCGTGTCATGTGCCTGTAGTCCCAGCTACCCTGAAGGATGAGACAGGAAGATTGTTTGTGTCAGGAGCTTGAGATGAGCCTAGGCAATATAGAAAAACTCTGTCTTTAAAAAAAAAAAAAAAAAAAAGCCCAGTTATTGAACTGGTTTCCAATTTTTTGGTATCAACAACAATGTGTTGGCCAGGTGTGGCTGCTCACATCTATAATCCCAGCATTTTGGGAGACCAAAGTAGGAAGATCACTTGAGCTCAGGAGTTTGAGACCAGCCTGAGCCACATAGCGAGACCCCATCTCGATTGAAAAAAAAAAAAAAATTAGCCGAGCATGATGGCACATGCCTGTAGTCCCAGCTGTTCAAGAGACTGAGGCAGGAGGATTGCTTGAGGTTAGGAGGGCAAGGCTGCAATGAGCTATGATCACATCACTGCACTCCAGCCAAGTGATGGAGCGAGACCCTGTTTTAAAAAAAGAAAAGAGTATCTAATCCTGAATTGTACCCCACATCTTTAACATAAAATAAAAAGAAAGAAAGAAAGAAAGGACATCAGAATACCACAGAAGCCTGAAAATGTTGATCGTGTGGGGCTGGGTGTCCAGAGGAGAGGGCCTGGTGAAGACCCACAGGAACCAGCTCTGGCGAACCTGGGCCTTTCCCTTTGTCATCTCAGGACTCTGGACCCATGTTCCTCACGGGCACAGCTTGGCCCTTGGTTACTCCCGCTATAGGGTAGGACTCGGCTAGCAGTTGGGGCCCTGGGCATTCTGCTCTGTCCCTGTCTGTGCAGTGACTTGGCTCAACCCAGAGCCCTCTCTGTAGTTCTGCAACCACTGCTTCACATCACCCAGATTGTGTGGGAACAATGAGAGAGCCATTGGGTAGGGTCTGTGCGTGGGAGGAGCTGTGGTTCATGGGGCTCCAGACCCTTTATTCTCCTGTTAAAATTTAAACTGAGTCACTACCAAAACATTAAAAACTTTATCTGAGAGAAAAAAAAGGAAGAGAAGAGAAAACACTGCACTGGCAAGCATCCTTATGCATATCTATTATTTGACTGAATTTATAAAGGTAGAATTTTTCCATAAAAGATATGAATAAAGCTAAGGTTTTAGATTCATATTGCAACATTTCTCCACCCATGTTGCAAGTACCCATTTCCTTGAATTCCTTATTATATTTTTTAATGTTTTTAATTTGGTAGTCAAGAAGTCATATGTCATTGCTTTATTTGCATTTCTTCAATTATTATGACTTCTTATATATTGAACATTTTTATTATATAAGAATTTTTTTAATTTAAACATTCTTCTTTTTTTTTTTTTCTTTTTTGAGTTAGAGTCTCACTCTGTTGCCCAGGCTGGAGTGCAGTGGCACACTCACAGCCACCACAGCCTTGACCTGCTGGGCTCAGCCAATCCTTCCACTTCAGCCTTCCAAGTAGCTGGAACTACAGGTTTCACTACCATATCCAGCTAATTCACTGATAATTTTACCACACCCAGATAATTTTTTTACTTATTGTAGAGACAAAGACTTGCCATGTTGCCCAGGCTGGTCTTGATCCCCTGGGCTCAAGCAATCCTCTAGCCTCCACTTCCCAAAGTGCTGGGATTATAGGCACAAAGTCACTGCACCTGGAAGAACATTATTCTTATATATTGACCATACATATTTTGTAGATGCCCATTGATGTACTTTTTTTGTCTTTTGTTATTTTTCAAAATGAATAAAGAAACTCTTTTGTAAATGAGTGTATGTACAAAAGAAACTATTCAACCACTAAGAGCCCCTCACACTTTAATGTACTCACAAAATTATTCCATCTTCACAAACATCACTAAAGGATTAGTTCCGCTGATACTTAAAGTTATACAAAAGTTCTTAATTTTAAATACACAGTTTACCATTGAACAATGTGGGGGTAAGGGGTGCCAACCCCTTGTGCAGTTGAAAATCTGTGTATGGCCAGGCTCGTTGGCTCAGCCTGTAATCCCAGCACTTTGGGAGGCCAAGGTGAGTGAATTGCCTGAGCCTGTGGGTTCGAGACCCGCCTGGGCAACTTGGCAAGACCGCATCTCTACAATAAATCAAAAATTAGTCGGACGTGGTAGCACACGCCTGTAGTTACAGCTACTTGGAAGCTGAGGTGGAAGGTTCACCGGAGCCCAGCAAGGTCGAGGCTGCGGTGGCCGGGAACAGCCACTGCACTCCAGTCTGGGCCACAGAGTGAGACTCCAACTCAAAAAAAAAAAAGAAAATCTGTGTATAACTTTTGACTCCTCAAAAACTTAGCTACTAATAGCCTACTGTTTACTGGAAGCCTTAACGATAAGTCAATTAACACATATTGTGTATGTTGTATGTATTGTATTCTTACGTATTCTAACATTTTGAATGTTATTGGTATTATATTGTATTCTTACAATAAAGTAAGCTAGAGAAAAGGAAATGTTATTGTTATTATTTTTTTGAGTCAGAGTCTCACCCTGTTACCTAGGCTGGAGTACAGTGGCACAATCATGGTAGAGACTTGCTAGACTCAGCCTTCCAAGAACCTCAAACTATAGGCACACGCCACCACACCCAGCTAATTAAGAAATAATGCTTAATTATTATTAAGAAAATCATAAGGAGAAAATATATTTATATTCATTAAGTGGAAGTGGATCATCATAAAGGCCTTCATTCTCATTGTCTTGATGTGGAGTAGACTGAGGAAGGGGAGAAAGAAAGGGTTGGTCTTGCTGTCTTTGGTGACAGAGGTGGAAGAAAATCTATATATAAGTGGATTCATGTCGTTCATACCCATATTGTTCAGAGGTCAACTCTACAGTCTTAATTATACCAGTGTTCTAATGTCCTAAGACAGGTAGGAGGTAGTGGAATCACACTGTCTCTCAAAGGATCAAAAACAAACCAAAAAAAATGTAATTCAATCTATAAGATTGATAAATTTACAGAAAAGACTCATATGAACTAAAATTCTTTTCCTTCCTCCCTTCTTAAACATTCTCCCTCTACAGTGTAAGGTGATAGCCAAATTCCTCAATGTCAACTTTTGTTAAAAAGAAATGCTATTTTAAAGATACTATATAACTAGAGACTTATGAATGTAACATCATTGAAACTATTTACTGAACCCTAATGCTAGATCTACTATTACTATAAAATTACTGGGGAAAAATAATCTTGCATTTCTGTAGTGTTTTTTACATTTCAAAATTTTCTCACAAGTAACTTCTCACTGGATTTACCACTAAACACCAAAGTAGGTATGGAAATGACCATATCTACTACATGAAAAAGATTTAGGCATAAAGAACAGTTTGCCTTAATGTCATCCAGTGTTACTACTAAGAGTGAGTTTTCTAACCAGGTCCTATTCTTAATCCTGTATGCTACCTGCTTTCTTCTAAGCCCCCTTAGGCAGTCATGCATTGCTTAAGGATGGGAGTACGTCCTGAGAAATGGGTTTTTAGGCAAGTTTATTATTCTACATGTTACTATTTTTAAGGGCTCCTTATTAACTCTTGGTTTGTAATATTTTTTGTGACTGTTTTTCCAGCTATTTGCCTTTTAATTTTATTTGTGATGTTTCTTAACCATAGAGTCTTCAAAAATTATTTCTTGTAGCTGCAATGTCAGTAAAAGAAGTCCTTCAAAGTTTAGTTGATGATGGTATGGTTGACTGTGAGAGGATTGGAACTTCTAATTATTACTGGGCTTTTCCAAGTAAAGCTCTTCACACAAGGAAACGTAAGTTGGAGGTTCTGGAATCTCAGGTAAGCCACCACAGTTAAAATCATCAATTTGTTTAGTGACAGAGGCTTGTTTTACTTAATCCTTTTTTTTGTTCAGTGACTTTCTCTTAAATTTTTAACATGCATTATTTGACTCAAAGTCTGAGATAATCAACATCTCTGTTTTTCTTCTAAGCAATATGAGGACCTTAGAATGTTTTCACTTTCATCTTCCCATATATCCTGCTGTATTTTCTAATATTTTATCAATAGACGTTTTTTAGGAGCAATTTTAGACTTACAAAGAAATTGGTGGGAAAGTACACATAATTCCCAAAAATGTGCTCCTTCTTCCTCACCACACACAAACACACAACTCCCCTATTACTTGCATCCTGTATTAGTGTAGTACATTTGTTAAAATGATGAGCCAGTACTGATACATTATGATTAGCTAACGTCCATAGTTTACACTGGAGTTCAATCTTGGTGTTATACATTTGGTGAGTTTTGACAAATACATGAAGATGTGCAGTCATAATACAAAATAGTTTCACTGCCCTAAAAATCCTCTGTGTTCTGCCTATTCCCTTCCTCCCTCCCCCCACCCCAGTCCCTGGCAACCACTGATCCTTTTGCTGTCTATAGTTTTTCCTTTTTCAGTCATATATTTGGAATCATACAGTGTATAGCCTTTTCATTTGGCTTTTTTCACTTAACAGTATGCATTTAAAGTTTTACCAAGTTTCTCAGTGACTTGATCTCTCATTTTTATCGCTGAGTAACATTCCATCATATGGATATACCACAGTTGGTTTAACCATTGAGCTATTGAAGAACATCTTGGCTGCTTCCAAGTTTAGACAATTTTGAATAAAGTTGCTATAAACCTTATTTCAAGATGTAGAGTTTTTTGTTTTTGTTTTTTTAATTGTGGGGTACAATTCAGGGTTAGGTATACAAATATTCATTGTGCAGGTACCCTTGTTGATGATGTGGTATGTAGGTTTTGTGTAGACATACATTTTCAACACATTTGGGCAAAAGCTAAGAAACATGATTGTGGCATTGTATGATAAGCAGATGCTTAGTTTCTGAGAAACTGCCAAACTGTCTTCCAAATTGGTTATATCATTTTGCATTCCCAACTACAATGAATGAGAGTCCCGTTACACTGCATCATTGCCAGCATTTGGTGGTATCTGTGTTTTGTATTTTAGCCACACTAGTAGGTGTTTATCAATGGTATCTTAAGTTGCGGTTCCCTAATGACCTATGATGTGGAACATCTTTCCATGTGCTTATTTGTCACCTTTATGAAAGAGGTGTTTCTTCAGATCTTTTGCCCATTTTTAAATTGAGTTTTTGTTTTCTTATTGTTGAGTTTTAAGAGTTCTTTGCATATTTTGCCCACCAATCTGATAAAAATGTGTCCTTCAAAGAATTTCTTTCAGTTTGTGGCTTTTGTTTTCATGATCTTAACAGTGTCTTTTACAGAACAGAAGTTTTTTAATGAAGTCCAACTGATCAATCTTTTCTTTCATGGATTGCTCTTTTGGTGTTATAGTTAAAAAGTCATGCCCAAACCAAGGTCATCTACATTTTATTCTTTATTGTCTTCTAGGAGTTTCATGTTTTACATTTCAGTTTATTATCCTTTTTTTTTTTTTTTTTTTTTGAGTTGGAGTCTCACTCCGTCACCCAGACTGGAGTGCAGTGGCTGCTCCCGGCCACTGCAGCCTCAACCTGCTGGACTCCGGTGATCCTTCCGCCTCAACCTTCCAAGTAGCTGGAACTACAGGTGTGCGCTACCACGCCCGACTAATTTTTTTTTTTATTTATTGTAGAGATGAGTTCTCACCAAGTTGCCCAGGTGGGTCTCGAACCCACGGGCTCAGGCAATCCACTCACCTCAACCTCCCAAAGCACGGGATTACAGGCTGAGTCACTGAGCCTGGTTTATTATCCATTTTGTGAAAGCCATAAGGTCTACGTCTGGACTCTTTTTTTTAGAGGTGTTTCTTTAGATGTTTTGCCCATTTTTAAATTGAATTTTTTTGTTATCCGGAGTAATTTCTATTTTAAGGGAATTTATTTCCTTTGCAATTCTATGCATTTTATTTTATGGATTTTAAATCATTATTTTGAGAAATTCAAACTGAAGGATATCCTTTAGTAATTTGTTCAGCCAGGGCTTAAGCTTCATAACCTCAATCTTTGTCTGAAAAATGTCTAATTTACCACTGCTTCTTGAAAATAGAATTGTTAGTTATTTTTCTTCAACATTTTGAAAATATTACTTTATATCATCTTGTGCATTTGTTGTCACTAATGCTTTGCTGTCAGTCTAATTGTCTTTTTTGTTTTCCTTTGTGACCTTGCAGTTCTAAAATTTAGGCTAGATGTAGTGGTTTATATATGTAATCCCAGCATTTTGGGAGGCTGAGGTGGGATCACTTGAAGCCAGGAATTACAGACCAGCCTGACCAACACAGTGAGACCTAATCTCTACAAAAAAATAAATAAATAAATAAGGTGGGTATAGTGGTGTGTGCCTGGAATCCCAGGTACTTGGGAGGCTGAGGCAGAATGATTGGCTAAACCCAGGAGATTGAAACTGTGGTGAGCCGTAACTGTGCCACTGCACTCCAGCCTGGATGACAGAGTGATGCCAACTCAAAAAAAAATGTAGTTACATGTCTGTACATAACACAGATCTAGAGATTTGTTTTCCTATAGGCAATGTTCCCTCCAGCCCTAAACAAAGTGCAAGAGAGAGGTAAGCTCCTTGTTATTTTCCATGGAGTTTTCTAGTGCTTGAGCTACATGCAGGAGCTCAGTTCTAGGTCCCCCATCTCATGACCCTTCACATTGACTTCACTCCTGTGTGTGTTAGAATCCCAGTCCCTAGCCACCAATGCCTGTGTCTGATCTACACTTACTGAGCAACAGAACGTCACCTTATTGCTTTGACTTTGTTTTCTCTTATTTCTTTCTTTCTTTCTTTTTTTTTTTTGAGTCGAAGTCTCACTCTGTCACCCAGACTGGAGTGCAGTGACACACTCATGGCCACTGCAGCTTCAACCTGCTGGACTCAGGTGATCCTTCTGCCTCAGCCTTCCAAGTAGCTGGAACTACAGACATGTGCCACCACACCCAGCTAATTGTTTTATTTATTATAGAGACAAGGTCTTGCCAAGTTGCCCAGGTTAGTCTCGAACTCTTGGGCTCAAGCAGTCCTCTTGCCTCCGTCTCCCAAAGTGCTGGGATTATAAGGCGTGAGCCATTGCGCCTGGCTTCTCTCATTTGTCACCTGCAGATAATTCTTTCCTTCTTTTGAACTTTGCTATATATCTTAGCATTTTGTTGTTGTTATATTTAATCCAGCATTTATATGTGTCAGTTGTGATTAGGAAGCCTTTCCCTGACTGGTTAGTTCATTATTCTCATTCAAGTTCCCACAGTACACTGTATGCCTATGAATTAGGACTATTTAGCATTATTGAAGTCAGTTTTATTGAAACCAAGGTTTGTTATTCTGCAGGTGTGTATGATGTTAGACATCACTTTAACCCAGCCTGGGTTTAAAGTGTCCTCACCTCTTGAGATAGCAAGCAGTGGAAGCCCTGATGCACTGACATGGTCCTCTTTAGTCATATTCACTCCTACTCTTGATGTGTTCTAGTTATTTCAAAGTCCCTTTCCCCTCACACTGCCAATCCTACATACATATAGAAGATAAATTAAATATCTGACTGTATCGGCACCATACATAATTTTTGTTCAGAGTCAGAAATTATTGAAGTAACCACACCTTGTATATCTGCTTTTGTGCTGCTTTCTTGTTCTTTTGTTCCTTTGTTACCTGCTGCTTTTTAATGATTAAAAGTATAATAGTGCTTTAGCTAGGCATTTGAGATTTATACTTTTGAATGTAACTTTCCAGACTTCAGATAAGTTTTCTTTCTCATTTGTCCATTCATTCAACAGACTTTTTTGCATGTTTTTTGAATAACAGAAGATGTTCTGGATTCTAGAAATACATGCCTTCCAGGAACTTACAGTCACCATAGAAGGACAGGAGGAGAAAAGGGCGAGGTTGGAGAGTAGGTGGTGAAGAGACAGGCAGAGGCCACAGTTATAGGTCCTCCTGAGGAAGGATCAGGAGCTTGGACCTGTCTAGAGGGGTGCAAAACCAGTGAACATTTTTAGCAGAGAAGTTGCATGACAAGAATGGGTTGGGAAGACTGAACCTGGGATCAGAAAAATGAGACAGAAGGCTATTGTGATTGCTTGGTTAACAATTGGGGGCCTCCAATGAGAGACAACCTCACACCCACTAGGGCGGCTACCATCAAAAAAATGGAAAATAAAACTATTGTTTAAAAATGCAAAGAAAAGGCTAGACTCCGTGGCGCAGCCTGTAATCCCAGCACTTTGGGAGGCCAAGGCTAGTGGATTGCCTGAGCCCGCAGTTCAAGACCAGCCTGGGCAACTTGGTGAGACCTCATCTCTACAATAAATAAAAAAAAAATTAGCCAAGCGTGGTAGCACACATCTGTAGTTCTGGCTACTTGGAAGGCTGAGGTACAAGGATTGCCTGAGGCCAGCGGGTCGATGCTGATGTGGCCGTGAGCAAGCCATAGCACTTCAGCCTGGGTGACAGAGTGGGACTCCAACTCAAAAAAAAAAAAGAAGAGGAGAAGAAGTGAGATGTGGAGAAATTGGAACCCTTTTGCACTGCTGGTAGGAATGTAAAAGGACATAGCTGCTATCGAAAGCAGTATGGTGCTTCCTCAAAAGATTAAAAAAAGAATTATCGTAGGATCCAACAGTTCCATTTCTTGGTATATCCAAAGACTTGAGAGCAAGGCCTTGAAGAGCTACTTGTACACCCATGCTCATAGCAGCAAAATTTATTATAGCCAAAAGGTAGAAGCAACCCAGGTGTCCATGGATGGATGGATGAATAAACAAGACATGAAAATGGAACATTATTCAGCCTTAAAAAAAGGAACTTCTGGCATGTGCTGAACCCGGAG